TTTTAACTCTATCGAACTGACTGCTTACAGCAACTTTCTTGTTCCAATCAGTCTAAAAAGTCTTCTCCAACCTCCAGTCAACAATGTTCTTCTTCTGTCATATTCACTGTCAACTTTTTGAGCTCTCAGCATCCACTTGTAGCCCTGGGCATTTCTACCCTAGAATGAAGTCTTGCTCTTCCAGGATGCTTCCAGCCTCTGTTTTATTTTGTTTTGTTTTTGCAAACACAGAATATTACAGATGGTAATACCATATTTTGCCAGCACCTTTTATTTCTTCCACTAAAGGGAAATGCATTTGATGGTCTCTGGTGATAGGTCAGAAAACGTATTTGAAGGAGATCTCCTTTATTGATATGGACTAGAGTAATAGAATCTTAAAAGCCTAACTGTGTTTTCCATCCTTTTTACACCATAGGAAATTAAGGAAGAATTCACCTGAACCCATTTTCAGGCTCCAATTCCCTTGCTTAACAAATCTTTTCCAAACATTAGTTCTATCTAGTTTCTTCAAGATCATCTCTATGACTCCAAAAACAAAGATACCTTTTTTTTATTGGAAGCACTTCACAGTTGTGCAAAATCGCTTTTTCTAGGTTGTGTCTTCAATATATCTCAAATTCACAGTATGTAATCAACAAATTTCTTGGTTTCACAGAAGTTGTAGTTCAACACATGGCGGTCTCGGCTGGCTTTGCTCAAGAGTTCCTAATGTTTGCTGTGGAAAACACTCATGAACCGCAAAGATACTGCATGGGCTTCTAAATAAATATATAAATAAATGCTAAAATCTCATGAGATCACCAATAATGCAAGATGTTTGTATTCTCATTCAAAATGTTGCAAGATTTCAGGAATGAATATTTTAAATCTCAGCAGAATTCATACTTTCACAAGTTTTCAACATTAAAAAATAACATATTGGTATATCTATTTCATCAGTTTTTTTTATTTAGGTGGTTTTTTTTTTCTTTTAAATTAGTTGTTCTTATTTAGGTTCTTATGGGAGAAACAAAACATCACTATAAAACTTAAAAGAGTTTGATGTAGTGATTAAATTTCTGACTTAGAAACAAGGAGATGGTGAGGTTTCCCTCAGGCCAGGTGGGTGACTTTGAGCCAGTAACTTCTCTCAGCCCAACACACCTCACAGAGCTGTTGTTTTTGTGAGGAAAATAGGAGGTAATGTACACAAAAGTACACATTCCTAGACACATTAGTTTAAGGAAAAATATAAACACATATACATATAGAGTATATAAACATTAGGGGGGGGTTAACAGCCCTTTTTGCCATCTAAATTTTTAACCACAACAGTTTCCCATACATTTGAGTATCTCAGTTAAAAATATATTGCATTTTATGTGACTTATATGTTTGTTTTACAGAAATGGACAGAAACCACAGCAGATTTCAAGGGAATGTTAACCCCGCTAACAAACATAGCATTATATACTAATTTATTTTTAATCTGCAGCACAATCTAGAAAGGTTACAATTAATCGAGTGTTAGCTTCAAGGTCAGTTGCTGAAATAGATTTATTGGGAAATGTGTGCTACAAAGTAATCCAGGTAGATTCTTCCAATGTCTAAATCCTATTCAGATGGGCATTTTGCCAATCCCAATTGGGATTTTTCAATATGTGTACATACTGGTGCCTCAGGTACCATATTGCTAATCACTATGATAATTCTCAAAAGCCAGAATCTTACTTGTGTAGAAGAGGAAAACATTGGGGACCACATATAATAGCACTGACTTTTGTGAGCTTTCCTGTATTTCATCAGAATTTATCAAGGCCACACAGTGTTTCAGAATTTCTCATAATTCCCTGGAGCATAAAAACCACCAATTTGAGGGGGTTGTTTAGCTTTGTCCAGACAGTGCTTGGTATCTGCTGACTTGATTTTCAAAAAGGAAAAAAAGGGTTAAATCAAAAGAATGCTTTACTTCCATGCACAGTGGGAACAATTTAGGGAAATGATAGTCCATTTGGAATGGTGTCAAAGATTCCTAACTGCAAATTTGTTCTCAGAGGCAGGTACTGTATCTTGAACTTTGACAACATCTCAATTTGAAAGGAGGGGTTGTTTGCTTTGTTTTGCATAATGCCTAAATTGTTTTTTCTCATTTCAGTAAAAAAAATCAACATAAGGAAAGGGATGAATCCCAAGGTGCAAATCAGTCCAAATGGCTTTGTTGTATGTGTGTGCAATATTGATGCAAACACCCAATGCCAAAGCAGATAACCATGTCCTGTTGGGTCATTGCTTCACAGATATTTCCCTACTTAAACAGAGAAACAGAGTGAAGAAGAATGGGCAAAAAAGCAGGACCAACTTTCAACTTCCTATCAACTTCCCTACTGAATTTCCTTATGGGAATCTGGCAAGGAGCATCAGAAAGCCTTCTTTCCTTCCTTCCTTCCTTCCTTCCTTCCTTCCTTCCTTCCTTCCTTCCTTCCTTCATTCCTTCGTTCCTTCCTTCCTTCGTTGCAAGTAAGTGGCTTGCTGCTGGATGGGGGAGTATAAGGGATTGTGAGACTGGCTGGGAAACTCTCACAGAACATTGAAAATTAAGATCATACGATTGCAGCAACAGCCAGTAGCACTGAAGCAGCCACAAATTCCCCAAATTTCATTTCCTTGGGAGTCGCGTGTCCTAGACTTTTGAAACATTCTGTAAGTTAGCCCATTTGAAGTTGTTGTTGTTAGTTGCAAAGTCATGTCCGACCCATCGTGACCACATGGACAACGTTCCTCCAGGCCTTCCTGTCCTCTACCATCTTCTGGAGTCCATATAAGCTCACGCCGACTGCTTCAGTGACTCCATCCAGCCACCTCATTCTCTGTCGTCCCCTGCCCTCAATCTTTCCCAGCATTAGGCTCTTCTCCAGTGAGTCCTTCCTTCTCATTATCATTTGTATCATTTGAATTACCTTATCATTTGAGGTACCTTGGCTCAAAAAGTGGAGCCCTGTGATATATCATACTGCTCTAGTTAAAAGTCATGAGAACAAGAGGTTTAGTAGCATATAAATATTTTTTTGCTGTTAAAATGGTCAGTTATCAAGACTTAAATTATGCCTTGATTACTAACATTTTTCCTATCACTATTAAGTAACAACATCTCATCTTCAAATACCATTTATATCCATCCAAAATAAAGAAAAAGAAAAATGTTCTTATGGATTGGAATCTCTCTTTTTCCCCAATTTAACCAGATGGAATGCTGTAACTTGAGGCACCAAACCTCAAAATGTATTAACATTCCATTATGTTTTAAAGGAAACGTAAAAATGTTTTCTGGTGTGGCTTCTAAAATAACAAAGATTGTAGGAGTGTAATTCAACTTTATCAAGAGTAACCTGTACCAGAATTTGCTGTCTGAATTTTTGGAATCCTATTTCCCATTTATTATATTTTCATATTAACTTATGCTCTGACTGTCTTCCTATCTGTCCATCAGCCTGCCTGCCTGCCTTTGGTAGATAGGATCCATAGAAAATTACAGGGAGTGCCATGAAGACAAAATGACAAAGATTAATTAAAAAAAAAAAAAAGAAGCCACTTTGTATAAGCTCAAGGATGAGCTTCACTTTCATGCTCACTTTTACTTTTAGAAACAAGCCATGGCTTTTTCAATGAACCATTTCAGTGTGGATAGTTTCAAAGTTAATATAAGCCATACATGCTGCTGAAATGAACTGTTGTCATTAAATAATCCATATTAATGAAGGGCAGAAGCATTACATGAATGAATTAAAATAGGGACTAACTCTAATCTTGGTCTGTTTTTCATCCCTTGGAGCTCTTTGAGATTCATAGCTAATTGGATCCTATCATGCATCCACCTCTTTCTTCCTTAACGTGTCCCATTTCTTGGAGAGGTCAATTGAAAAGGGTAGACCAGGTCAGCATTGGGCCATCTCTACCAAGTCCAGTGAATATCGCTGACATATCTGCAATGTTTCAAAATCATTTTGAAACCAGACACTTGTCTAGTCAATCTCTTTGGTAGGCTGAAACTCAGCAATGTCTCTCCAGAGCACAGAGTACTTCATTCCTAAGAAATCCTGGGGACATTATGACCCCCTGTTTTTATAATAAAGGAGCAGAAAATTACAAAAGCTGTAAAGAACAGTATGTTTTAATAACATTATTTGCCATACATGATTTTTTTATATCTTTTGAATATATCCCTTGAGTATTTCAGGAATTAAGGTCAGAATGAAACTAAGAATGTACAGAGAGCAGAAAGGAAAACAAGCATACCTTTTGGTGATGCCTGATCTAAACCATCAACTTGACTTTTTTTTTTTTTTAGTCCCATTGACATATCACCCCAAATCCAAACACTATCCTTGGCCCAAAACTGGCATGCATCTCTGTCTTCAGTGAATAGAACATCAATGTATGAAATACCAATTGAAGAGGATCCCCAAATATAGATTATCCATTCCCAAATTCTGAGTAATCTTCAAAACTCCAAACCAAATCAAAAAGAGTTCTCACTTTAGTATCGATTTGTGCTTCTTGTGTGAAACAACAACATATTCTGTTAATATACTAACACTAACACAAGCTAGGTATGATTAGAAACCTGCAGAAAAAAATGGACTTGTTTGGAGAATGAAATTCAACAGCTACTGATTTAATGAGCCAAACAGTGTACCCAATGTTTCAGTAATATCTGTTCTATGAGACAACTTACAGGAAAATAGTGTAGAACAAAGAATGAAATGTGTTGATCATTTTGGTTTTCTGCTTTTTGTTTCCTAGGCTTACAATCCTACATTTATTTAACTATAAAAGTTCAGTCCACTGAACTTTTGAATGTGCAAAATGTAATATTCAGGATCAATTGCACCTAAACAACAACTCTAACAATCTATATTTATTCATTTATCAAACATATATGCCACCTGACTCAATGATTATTATTTGCATGTTACTTTACTTTTTCTCCTTGAATATGTTTTTCTTTTTCTTCTCTGTAGTCACAGCAAGGCTAGAATAAAAAGGGAAAAATGCAGAATGATTCAAATAGTAGACAAGCTCAAGATACACCAAAAAGTCAGCATCTCGGAGGCAAACATATTGTAATCTAATTTTTTGTGCTATTTCTTTGAAAAGAAGCCTTTTGATTTTAAGATCTTCTTTCTTGCTGTTTCTCCCATTGATTTCTGAGATAGCTTATAACACATTAGAACAATAATATAATTAGTCAGAAGGTTCTGTCTCTTGCTTTACAGTCACCATAATTCTTGATAGACTGACATGAGTGATAGAAGTTGAGGTCCATCACATCTGGAGGCCAGAAGTTTCAAGAAAACTATGTCAATGTAGAAGAAGCCAGAACATTATTCTCCTCATGCCTCAAGCCTAAGGCAGAAGTCTCTCTGAAATTGGTCCTTAAAGGTTGCTTGGATTTTGTCTGGCAACAGTAATAATCAGACAAGTCTTCCCTCTGTCAGATGTTCTCTTTGAGGAAAAAAAAGAGAATGTATCTTTTCCCAAATATTCCCAGGAGCTGCCGAAGACAACTGTATGAATCCACAAGAAGACACAATTGCTTTAATGAAATACAGAGAGATGTTCCTGCCAGCTCTTACTGTTTTTGAGGCCCTCCACATTTTTTTCATCTTCACAATTTGTAGCTGTGCTTTACTAAAATATCAATCCTTTGCAGCTGTGGCCATCTAGACAATATCAAATTGGGGAGGGATGCTGACATAAACAATACACGTATCTGTATTTTAACACTTTTGTTGCTCAAACTATAGAAAAAGATTTCTGCTAATAATCACTGGAATCTTGCATTCTATTTCACACACCATACATGCTCCATACATGCTTTGTACTAATATGTACAAAAGATTGCAACTCACCAAAAGCTGAGGGAACATACCAAACCATCAGAGAAGTTATTGGGCTGGTGTGATTTGACTTCCTTATGTGCCAAAATACAGGAGTAGCAAATGTAGAATCAGAAGACAAATACCTATAACAGAGATAACACTGCCATTAGTGAATCCATCCACAATGGCACTGAACCAACATGGCAATAATATCATTCTGAAGGTACAAAGAGAAAACTGAAATTATTGTGGGGAGGAAAGGTACATAAGCACAATAAATTCTGAAGAGAATCCAAGACTCAATTTTGCCATTAATACATGAAACAAATATGTAAATATAACACAAGTCACAGCACTGAAAATCACACTACCATACAGGGTGACAGGAGTTGTACCAATTCTAGACCAACATTTGACCTGGCATAAGGGAAGATTAATATGATGAAATCTTTGGAATCTGGACTTATTTATAAATTGCCAAGTTATTTTTCCTGTAACTATACAAAGGAGTTACACAGAAGCAACAGTTTGCAGTCATGCTGTGCTTGATTTATTGTAGCATTAAATTGTTGGCATCTTGAGGAACTTTCATAATAGGAGAAAATGAATAATCTGTTGTTTGAGCAAAGAGTACTCATTTGAATACAGCTACCCATGTTTTAGCCAAGTACATCAATGCAAATCCAATTCTAGCTATTTGGAAAGAGGCAGAGAACTATATAAAAGAAAAAGAAAATGTGACTGTACATATTTAGGAACTTCTAGTTAAAAACAAATGGCACATTAGCAGAACCGTCCAATTAAATAAAGTATATTTCCACGCCACTAAAGTTTCTACTCTCTCATCCCAATCCCTTCAAAGTGCAGATAACCCTTCCACAACTGGGACCAGAATCTTGTTCGTTTAGTGAAGCAATCATTAAGCAGAATGTCCACATGACCACTTTGCCCAATGACCATAATTTCAGCACTCCTAGTTGTGGTTATTAAACAAACTTGTGGGTCATTAGGCAAAGCCAGGTAGTTCTTTTGCTCTGATTTCAGCTCCATTTATGTCTCTGGGAAGCTGAAATCCTTGGGCAGGCAGCTCTTTCAACCAGCCTCCACACACGAGAGGGAGTTATTTTGGCAGGCAGCAACCAAGCATGCAGATGTTGATATGCTTTGTTTTCAATCATCAAAAGTGCTTTATAGGATCATTCTTTTTGAGACTGTCGTTAGACAAACAGTCATAACTTGAGGACTACCTGCATTTTCAATCTGATCCGTAAACCTCTTCTTCACTCACAGCCAACTTCCTGGGTAAAAATAAATGAAATAACAATAGCAATAGCACTTGGATTTATATACCTCTTCATAGTATTTTACAGCACTCTCTAAGTGGTTTACAGAGTCCGCATATGTCCCCCAACAATCTGGCTCCTCATTTTACCATCCTTTTTCCCAGGATGGAAGGCGGAGCCATCCTTGAGCCAGTTAGGATCGAACTCTTGGCAGTTGGCATAATTAAACTACAATATTTTAGCCTATTAGCCTTTAACCACTTTGCCACCATGGCTCATCAGATATAAATAAAGTTTTCCTTCATCCACTCCAAGCAGGGATGTCTTCAGGATGTGGTTGTTGTTGTTTTTTTAAAAAAGTCAAGATGGCACACATGCACATTAAAAACAGACAGAACTCTAATCACACCATTGTAGTCACCATCTTGACTTTCTTGTCCATGTCTTCAGATATCCGCAACTCCAAGTAATGACAGGATGATGCAGTGCCAAGTCCTCTACAGCTGGGCTGTAAAGCAAGAATGACATCCTTTGGGGCAGTGTGATGCCTGGATGGGCCCTTTGATTTATGTTTGTCTCCAGCCATTCATGATCTCTTTTGTTTCTTTTTAATTGTAAGCTGCCCAGATCCATTAGGAGTCAGGCAACCTTTACATTGTATAAATAATGGAAATCAGTGATGGAAATCCATAAGCCTTTTTTTTTTGTCCCATCCCTTTGAGTCATCATTGACTCCTGACAATTGCCTGAACAGGTCCCTGCAGTTTTCTTGGCAAGGTTTTTCAGAATGGTTTGCCTCTTCCTAGGGCTGAGCAGGTGTGACTGGTCAAAGGTCATCAATCTGGCTTCATGCCTTAGGTGGGACTAGAACTCAAAGCCTACATGAAACCCACCAAACCACCAACCACTACCCAAAAGCAACTGCAGACTCTTGAAAACTGTAAGAAGGATTTCCTAGCCTTGCTTTGAACTACTTTTCTCAAATGCCTCCCCACCTCTTTATGCGATAATTCGTCAAAGATTCATCTCCTGGATTTGCAGCTTCCTTCGTGCAGTTGTATTTAGTTATTCCAGAATAAAAGAGGTATTTTCCTTCTCACCATAAATTTTTTTCCATGTCTAGGTGCATTGAAAGTTGTACCTAATTTATTTTTCTTATTTTTATTCCAGAATACCAGTTGATTATTACTCTTGTGTGTATACTATTCTATGCTTATATGGAGGGGAGGGGAGGAAATTTGTCATATGCACATATCTTTGCTTTGGCTACGGATTTATAAGATACATCAGACCACTTTGTTATGCCTTCTCCCAATATTTTCTCTTCTCCACTCTCTATTTCATACATGTTGTACAAATAATAAATCATTAATTCCCTAACAGTGTAGTCAGTTATTTTCTATCCTTGATTGTAACAGCACTATATTATTTAACAATAGCACAAGATAGCAAAGAATCAACAATGCATCTTTCCTTGAATTTCTGCTATGCAAAGTAAGCAGCCTTGAAATTATCTGCATTTGCATATCAGTATTTGAGACTGGAGTCTAAATTACATTGACCAGTCCGATGTTTCGGTGGACCTGACATTTCTCTACAGAAAAAGACATAATTATAAGCAATGGAAATAGTAATATTATTAGAATTGTGAACTGTACCTTGCCTGAAACCACTCAACAATTGTAGAATAACTGATTAAGATAGTGAAGGCTCTTATTTAATTTTGCAAATCTCCAATGACAAATTCTCAGTCAGACTTCAAACCTGGTTTAAGTAAATATCTGCTCCCTGAACTGATAGATATTCAAAGTATTTAAGAGATTTCTGAGTTTTCATAACTGTGTATCATATCATGTTATATATTGCATTTAATTTTATTATTAAATGCATTTAATTTTATTTTAGATATGCAACTAATTCCAGGCCTTGCCAGCCATTCGAGGTAGAGCAGACCAGGAAACCTACCTTATAAGTACTACTTTTATTCTAATGTTACAAGAACAGAATCAAGCAAATCTAAATGTGTTCTCTCTCTTTCCCTCCATCCCTTTATCTTTGTGAGAACTAAAAACAACCAAGTCTGGCACGCTTTCTCAAATTACATTTCTACCCCAATCTCAGATTTCTTTTCATGATAGTTACCTTGATGGTAGTTCTTCTTCTTGCCCTCAAAGCTATTCCTACTGCTTATTACAGGTATCTAGTTTAACCCACATTATTGCTTGTTTATTTGTCCTTTGTTTGTCAAAGACCAAAACAGACATTTAAAAAGGAAAAGAAACATCACTGTAGAAAACAAAGCAACATAGTCAGAAACTTGCACAAAAAGTATTGAAGCTACCAAGATTACTCAACAGCTAGACATAAGATAGAAGTGTAACTGCAAGAAGAGAAATGGCTGTTCTAGAGATATTTGGAAGCTTGTCAACTAAGAGGAGGAGTAATTATTGCACTATGTATTGCATTGTTGCATTGCACCATATTTCTATCATCACCTTGTGATAGAAATCTACACGTGGAGATGTCATTTGTCAATTATTAGTTACAGCTTCTGTGTCAACCTATTGAGTTCTGCTAGCCAATTTAGCTTATTGTGAAAGAATAATTCTAGGAGTCTATACAAATTGTCTAAATCATTAAAACTTCACATGCTGATAAATGGCCAAATTTTCTTCTCTGAATTTTAGTTGGCCTAAAAAGAATTAAAATCTGCTTTGGACTGTAGCCAAATTCTTTATACTTGATCATCAGGAAGCAACAAGGTGTCTTGGCTTCACACACACACCCCAATTTCTTGCCAAAAGGCAAACTGCTTTCTCCAAGTAAAATTTAAAAAAATGAAAGGCGTAGTGTTCCATTGTTTCTGAGTTCATCCCCACTGTTTTTCATTTCTTGTATGGATAAAGAACAGGACATTTATTTGTTTGTTTGTTTGTCTAACATGTACAAAATAGCAGGTATAGGTATAAACTTAAATATAAACAAAGGAAGTAAATACAGATAAACGGGGACAGTAAGACAGGGATGGTAGGCACGCTGGTGCACTTATGCACGCACTTATGGATTCCAGGCGGATGAGCTGTGTTGTGTCCCTGACTAGCTAAGTCTTCAACCTGGTCCGCATTTTGAGCGGGACCATCTGACTGTTCCCATTGGTTGGTGCCGTTTGACAGCAGACTATATAAGGAGCTGTCAAACGGCATCAGCCGGGGCAGTTGGGGCTCCGGCTCCAGCCAGCCGGCTGCCAGCCCAGCTGGGCAGCCACGTTAATCTGTTACTGCTTCAAATAAAGAAACGTTATTCTTCAACTCCTGTGTCTGCCTGGTGTGTCCGTCTAGACCAATACAACAAGCTGTATTCAAGAATTGGTCTGGCAAAGGTTTTGTATGTTCTAGTTAGCAATACAATGTTACCAGAGAAGAAGCTTTGCAAGATTAGGTTAACAACTCCTAATGCTTTTTTGGCAATGCTGTTTCAGTGAACTCTAGAGCTTAGATCTTTTGAGATGGGTACTCCTAGGTCCTTGACAAAGTGAGGGTCACCTATGAGATCATTTCCACCCAACTTGTATTTGGTGTTCTGATTTTTTTTTCTCAATGTGCAGGACAGATCATTTATTAGTTGAGATTTGAGTTGCCAAATGCACGACCATTCTGACACATAGTCAGTTTGTAGAGCAGCAGCATTGTCAGTGGTGTTAAATAATTTTACATCATCAGCAGGACACAGCAGTGGCAAACTTTTTCAAAAAGTAGGCACATAATCCATTAGGGTCAATAGAGATGGCTTTAGGTTATGTAGTGCCGTTTCAATGTTTTCTACTGTAAAATCAATATGTAGTAAATTGTTAAAATTTGTTATGGCACGACT